GAAGTAAATTTCTACAAGTTTGCGCGCCAATCCAAGATGACTCTTATTGTGTGTGTGTGTCAAAACCTGTTTCTAAGGCCTCACACCTTGTAAATTATTTCAAAACCACATATGTTTAAAGGCAGGGGGGATGGGGCAGAGAGGACTTGCAAGGCTCTGCACAACGAAGCTCTTTGCAAGACCCTAGGAAGCGGAAGTTGATCACTTCCGTGCACCTGCTCGTGACACTACCCTACTTTTCTCGCTGTCCTTTGATTCCATGGTCCTTGCACGATTGCTCCCTATTTTTTTGCTTTTTCCCGTTTGCTTTGAAACCAACTGTTCAAACACCTTCAAATTTGCGGACTCCATCACCTTTCTGTTCTGGTCTCTTTCCGTTCCGTCGAGTCAAGGGCTAATGAATGTAAAGTGGAACTTCGTCAACTGATTTAGCTCTTGCGAGCATCAATCTAAGTGTGTGTCGCCACAGAGTCCCACTGAGGGCTGTGGTGTGATCCCCGTCGGGGGGGCGCAGCATGTACACAGACCCGTAAAGGGGGATCCTCACTGATTGTTTCCAGTTTTTCACGTAACCTTCCAGTGATCCTTCGATGACTTCTCGTTCTGCTTGGATTTACTGATCGAATGTCGCAGGGCCTACTGAGATCGAACTGCCGAAAATCACCACATGATCACGCGCGTCATTCGACAAACGAAACAAACTTAGACATGTCCAGGGACTTCAAGAGAGTGTAAAATTAAAAAGTCGAAAGAGCAGCCGCGGAGAGGAGTAAGAGTGCTCCACCGGCCAAGCCTGAGGAGAGTGAGCAACGTGAGCAGAGGGCCAATAGGTAAGCAACTAAGTAATCGCGTTTGGTTCTTTTGGTTTTTCTCTCCTACTGTTGCTTTCCGTTTTTGATGCCTTTCTTAAGGTTTCAGGTAACCTTTTAGTCAAGGGAGCGCCGGTTACGGCAGTGCCTTAGAGCCCCCACCCCATCCTTGCATGCGAATTCACACCTCCTATTCCCACCCTCTAATTAGGGTAACAGAAGGAAGTCGCACTCAACACACTTGTGCGTTGGTGCCTTTCCTTCTGTTTCTCCTGTCCTAGTCTTTCCTACCCGGGCGGTCTAAGACTAAAGTCCCGCTCGCTAACTATTGCACTTAATTCATGCGGCTAAGTATTCAGTAACTAGAAGGTTTCGTAACTGGTGGGCCTCGTAACTACACCTAGCTTTCTCTCTTGCCCTGTGCGTTTTCTCTCTCTGTCTTTTCCTTTCTTTCTAAGGCTTGTTAGGTGCCTACTACACCTCTTGAGCGCCGGTATCGGCATGGTGTGTGTGTGTCACCCCCTGTCTCAAAGGGTTGCTCGCGTCCAATTCTGGAACACAAGCAGGGCCAGCGGCCGACAAGCAAACGCTGGCTAACAAAGCTATGCTTGTTCAGTGGATGCACAGTCTGATCAACTGTGTGTACCTGCGACCAACCTTTGCACAAGCTGTCACTCCACTTTCCTCGGTTTGGTTCATGGTTCTTACATGCTACCTTCCCCCAAACCCTGGGTTTCTGCAGCTGCACCGCGCTGCTCGTTTCGTCACCGCTGAGTTCTGCAGACACGAGAAACAACTTTTGTTCAAACACCTACAATTTCTTGAACTTTTCACCATGCCGTTTCCTCGCCTTCCTTCTCAACGTGGGAATTGAGTTAACAGCAAACCAATGTCAGAGTGTGAACCGCTCAGCCGTCCCACTTGGGCGCTGGGTGTGATCCTCCGCAAGGAGGCGCTGTTTTCACGCCGGAACTCGTGTAACTGCCTCGACCGTATCCACCAAACCTTGGATTTTCTTAACTGCCTTCTTTCCACCTTGAATTAACTGCCTTTTGAGCCGCCGGGCTTTCACGGAAAACACCTGCTGACACCATAGCCGCCACCCTAAAAACCGGAATTCCACCTGAGGTCAGGCATGTTTCCCAACCCCCCGAGTTCTACTCCCTACCTAATTAGGGTAACAGAGGGAAATGGTACTCGGCACACTTGTGTGTCGGTGCCTTTCCCTCTGTTGTCCCTTTTCTAGTCTTCTCTACCCGGGCGGTCTAAGACTAGAGTCCCGCTCCCTAACTATTGCACGTTATTCGCTTCTGCTAAGTAGTCAGTAACTCTAGAGTGCTAAGTATTCATACACACACACACGGACACACACATGTATATACACCTCCCTGCCCCCCCCCCACTTTCCTTCTTGCGCTTTTGGTCGTTTCTTGGGCTTTCTCTCAGGCTTTTTAGGTTGCTCTTGAGGCTCGTTTCCCTACCCCAGTCAAGGGCTAAGTATTCACTTTTTCTACACCTACCTTTCTCTCTTGCCCTCTTAGCGCTGCTCTTTCTGTACTTCTTTTCTTTTGTTTCTAAGGCTTTTTAGGTACCTATTCAGGTCGTTCGCACGAGCGCCGCAAAGCGGCACCGTGTGTGTGTCACCCCCTGTCTCAAAGGGTTACTCGCGTCCAATTCTGGAACACAAGCAGGGGGGCCAGCGGCCGACAAGCAAACGCTGGCTGACAAAGCTATGCTTGTTCGGTGGATGCACAGTCTGATCAACTGTGTACCTGCAACCAACCTTTGCACAAGCTGTCACTCCACTTTCCTCGGTTTGGTTCATGGTTCTTACATGCTACCTTCCCCCAAACCCTGGGTTTCTGCAGCTGCACCGCGCCGCTCGTTTCGTCACCGCTGAGTTCTGCAGACACGAGAAACAACTTTTGCTCAAACACCTACAATTTCTTGGACTTTTCACCATGCCGTTTCCTCGCCTTCCTTCTCAACGTGGGAACTGAGTTAACAGCAAACAAATGTCAGAGTGTGTCAAAGCTTGTTTCTAAGGCTTCAAAAACAACAAAATGGGGGGCAGAGAGGACTTGCAAGGCTCTGCCCGACGAAGCTCTTTGCAAGATCCTAGGAAGCGGAAGCTGATCACTTCCGTGCACCTGCTCGTGACACTACCTACTTTTCTCGCTGTCCTTTGATTCCTTGCGTGATAGCTCCCTAAACTGTTTTTGCTTTTTCCCCGTTCATTTCATTCCTGCAGCTGCGCCGATGATCCGAGCTTTGAAACCAATTGTTCAAACAGCTTCAAATTTGCGGACTCCATCACCTTTCTGTTCTGGTCTCTTTCCGTTCCATCGAGTCAAGGGCTAATGAGTGTAAAGTGGAACTTCGTCAACTGATTTAGCTCTTGCGAGCATCAATCTAAGTGTGTTGTCACTACATCTACACGGCTAATGCTCTGTTGCGACGGGCGAAGCAACCCAAGGAACAAGGCGAAATAAGTATATAAACAAGAAAGCTTGTCATCACATTAAAACAAACTTGTCATCGGCCAATGTGTAGTCTAGTCTATAGGAAATGGTCGCCAGTCGCCTCAACTTCTAAGTTTCCAGCCACTGCCAGCCAAGCTGCCATGGCTGGCACCCACAAGAAGATCAGCTTCAAGGTGAGAACCGCGCCTGGCTTCGCCAGCGAATGGTGAAGGAAGTTGGAGCATCTTAGCAATTCAACCGGACTGCCTCTTCGCAGCCAGTAGAATTTTGGCCTCTGACATCATGCATCTGCTGAGATTATTCGATGTACTGCACTCAGACTATGCAGCTCACAAACGCATCCATTCTGCAGTTGTCCAAAACCCTGGGCCCCAGCTGCGGTGGCCCTTGCGACATTGAGGTGGAATCCCATCTGCCTTGGACACCATTCACGTCTGGCAAACCAGGCTGCATAAAGTGCAGCAAAAAGGTTCTGCGTATTTGAAATCTTGAGACATGAGAGGCCTCCTTGTCTCAAAAGCGTTGGATGAGCAAGGGGACTCCTCACTAAACATGGCCTCCAGCGCAATTTCTCCATTGCAAAGAAGTAGATGCTTGTGCTGGGGAATCGGGGAAACTGAACATACACAGGGGTGCTTAGGCATACAAGTGTGCCTGGCATGCTGCCGAAAAGCTGTCTGCGGAGCCTGAGGGCACAGGGCGGCAACTTTCATGATAGAATTCACTGCAAGCGACCGTGGTTAAATGGACACTGCTAATTTTCAGCAAGAAACCCAATTGCTTACCTTGCTTACCCTTTTCGCTGAGGAATTGACACGAATGCAGATGCGGCGCACCAAGGTCTTGGCCAGGTAAAGTCAGAGACGCGAACCAAGCAGCAAAAACATCTCTTTGGAAATGAACTGAACACAAGGTTGCAGAAAGACAATGCCTTGCTCAAAGACATCTCAGGGAGATCGCTTCACTTCTACATCTCGTGCTTGAAATCCTCACTGCGAGTTGCTACAAAACCATGATTGTGATGATTCTAGGACTAGTTGACTAGCTGAAAAAGACACAAATGCGTCAGTCTATGACATGTCGTAGTCAAAGCATGATGAGTTCACATCATCGTCTACTGAACACACTGTTGGACGATCCATGGGTCGTATTTCATCGAATACAGCTCAAACCTTGCGCTGCGGCTCTTGAGCGAAAAGCTAGAAACGAGCGATCCAGTGCGTGATAAGGAATGCAGCACTTGAGAACTTGAAACACGTTTCCCAAAAGAGAAGCGAATAGAACTTATTCCCAAAACAGGATTATGATGAGTTGCATTCTTCAACAAAGCCTCCGAATCACCAAAAAGTCTGAGAAAGCCTTGGCATTGCTTTTCTGTCAGAACCCTTTGGAATGGAATTTGGGCATTCACCAGTTGCTTGGATCCAAGCCCTCAAAGGTACCAATGTTGAAAGGCTCATCTAAAAGGTTCACTCACTCCACAAAGCTCAAGGTGCAGTCAGTTTGAAAAGTTAAAGAGTGTATGACCCTGCATGAACCATTATTGGTCTTGAGTCTTGAGTCTGACTCATAACTCATATCCTTCAGTTTGGATGTTTATGCATCGAGCTTACTAATTATTGAATATTATTGAGCTTCTACAATCAGTGCAGGCCAGGAGGGGCAAGAGTCAAATCGAAGTCCTCCGAAGCTTTTGCGTATACCTGCGTGCGTCTCCCCAATCTCAGTCGCTTGGACTATTTGATATCCCCTTATGAACACCGCAAATGCAGCGCCTCGATATTTCTGCGCGGGGGATTGAAGGGGCTTGAATGGCCTCCACGGGGGAGTGCAGCTTTTGGAGGGCCTGTCTTTGGGCCCTTTCGCACTTCTGCCTTCGCCTCACTAGGCAGCTGAAGACTCTTCCGAATTTCTAAGGAAGCTTTGGCTGATCTCCGCAGTTGTTCCGCAGCAGCTCTTCTTGCTTCAGCTTCAGCAAGGACCTTTGGGGCGCGCGCTTTGGCTTGGAGACGGATTTTCGACATCAGTTGTTCCCGAAGCTTTCTGGCCTCTCTTTCAAGTTGAACCAGCCACATTTGTTCACGATCTGCAAGTGTAGCCTCCGCCTCCTGTTGCTTCATCGGTTCATTCTGAAGCTCTTTCTGCAATTGCCTCTCTTCAATTAGCTTGTTTCGATAAGGTGACTGCTGCATTGCGTCACTGCGGGAAAGTTCCTGGCAAATCTCATCCAATTTTCGAGCCGCGTGTTCTTGCAACCTCACTCTTTCTTGCAACTCAGCTACAATTGCATGAAAAGAGTGAGACTTTGCCTTTATGCAAGTGAGGGCTTGCAGAATATCGCAAGAAACCTCAAGGCTCGTTTGCTCTTGCCAAAGCCTCTCAGCTTCTGCCGCACAAATTCGAAGTTCCTGGAGATCCCGAATTGGGGAGGTCCTTTCGAAAGGAACCGAACCAAGTGGGCGCGAGTGGTCGTCACAGTTGCCATCATCACGGAGATCACTCGGCTGGCCTACTTGGCCTGTGGATCTTCTTTCACACACAGCTGGTTCTTCAGCCTGCTTGATCTTGTCCGGGCGCATGAACTTGGCACCAGCTGAAGGCAGCGCGGACAACGGTTGATGAACAATGATGCGTTCTGAGACTTTGTCCAAGACGGCTACTTTGTCCTCATCTTTTTGCTTGTCATGGCCCTCAGAGCTCCTTGCCATTCCCAGATTTCCTGCATTGCGAGATATAGCGAGGCTTTTGGCGTCTGAGCCTTCGATGTCTTGGGACGTGAGCTTGTATGGTCTGTCCGTCTGATCAGCATCTTGCGACTGGAGGTTTCCAGCCGTTTCTGGCACTATGTAGGCAGAAGATGGGGTACAAGGTATTGAGTGTTTGTCACCATTGTCCTCAAGAAGTGCATCGATATCTTCAATATCCTCGTCAGAATCAGATTCACACGAATCTACATCCTCGCTGCTTGGTACATCTGATATCTTCGATATCTCTTCGCTTTGGAGGCCTGGCTGCGCGTGAGCAGCACTTGACTTCGCTTGACTAGCGGAAGCAGGTGCTGCGGGTGCGAATCTTGCTTTGGTTTCTTCGATGTCTGGCCTGATGGTGTCAGGCTGCTCGGCACAAAGAGTCCTACTTGGTCCTTGTGTTTTGTATTCGCAAAAAAAAACAGAAAGGAATGTAAATGGCTTCTCAGGCCACTTTCAAAGGGGACCTTACACACCGTTTACCTTCTTTTCTTTTTCCTATGGTCCTCCTCCCTGCTTTGCTTTGCTTTTGCATCCAGCCTGCTTGCACAAACATCTCTATGAATGCTGATCGTGTCCTGTCGCAGAAAGAACATACAGGAAACAAAAAAAAGGAAAACATGAGAAAAGTCTCTTGCCTCAGCGGCCACCTTTACTAGTAACAAGGGCATCGCTACTAGTAGCTCCTGGCATTACTACTAGGAGCAAGAAGCTATTAAGAACAAAGGGCATCGATCGCTACTAGGAGCAAGGAAGCTAGTTGGGCAAAAGTCTCTTGCCTCAGCGGCCACCTTTACAAAAGAAGACTGCAGGACGGTTAACAAGCGCGGTCTTTTGCAGTCTCCTCCGCTGCTCTGGAAGCAGAGGAACCTCTGCTGGGTCAACCGTTCACTTGCGACCACACTTTTCAAATCACTTGCGACAACACTGAGCACAACTTTTTTGTAGGTCACTTGCGCCGACAACAGCATCACCAGCATCATGGGTGGTGTAGGTCTGATAAGTTTGTCGCAAATCCCTACGCACAAAGCATCAGCATCATGGGTACGGTGGAGTGGTGTGTGCTAAGAGAAAATCACACACGACGTGAAAATCGGCGTCACAGGCGAACGCCTCACCCCTCTGCTGTATCCAGCTGAAAAAATGCAACTGCAAACCAACTTCGAAAAACTCTTTAAACATAGGATGACACAAGTTGGCCGAGGCGTGTGCTCGCGCTTAATAACTTAATCAATTATGATTGAATAGCTCTGACTTTGTCCTGTCTCAACAGCCTGTGCCAAATCAACCACTTTTATATAGTACAAATTACACCAAGGTTCGGTGACGTTTATGTCATCACCCATGCTCGAGCCAAAATGTGGAGATGCCGTCCAAAAGACTTTGCCAATTCTACTGTCGCATCTACCTTCAAAGCCCCAGATTTGGTTTCGACTCCCCACAAAAGAATGGGTCAGCGTGATTCAAGTTTGTTTGCACTTAGTATTTTGTCTTTTCCATTTTTTGCCCCGCCCTTACTTAATTAAGTAGGCGCCTACTTAATTAGGTAAGGAGGTAAGCTACTAGCAATAGGAAGTTCCTAGCTAGGACGAGGATAGCTCACGCTCGCACTGATGATTTGGTTCCTAGATTTCTTGGGAAACTAAGTTTAGTCTTACTCCACTTTTAGAGGTCTCAGAAACTCCAGCCAACCGCGCAGCAGCAACTCCACTGTGCAAAGCGAGCTGCTGGGAAGAGGGGGGTCTTCGTTGTCAGATGCAGGAAGCAGCTGATCCAAATCCTGAGAATGAGAACTGTCTTCTACATTTGTACATCAACTTGACATCGTCAAGAAGTCTGAGCTTGGACACAAAAGAGTCTTGATCGGAACCGTCTGAGGAGTCCAAACCTCACGAATGGAAGGAGCGATATTATGTTTTTCAGGCCATTAAAAAAGTGACCATATGTTGTGACCTTTATCATCGACCGTTACAAGTGCGGCTTTTCGTTCACCTCTTACACAGCATTCTACCCGCTTGGAAGTGCCTTGAATGCCAATCGGTTTCCACAAAATTGCAAAGGCCGGCCAAGCTCGGGGACCTCCAAATCCTAGACTGTGTTATATTTTGTATCCTCATGCATTACAGTCACAAAATGTTGGCCTTTATGTTACGACTCCCTGTCCTTCCAAAGACTTTTCGCGACGTTTCAACAGTCCGCAAAGCTTTATTCTCTGGCGATGTAAGCGATGTTTTGGGGCCGGTGTCATGTTTTTGCCTCCGGGACGGAAACCGAACGTGTAGTCGTGCTTATTTGTACAGTACAAACCACACGTGTGCCATCTTTTGGCACTTTTTCCGACCCGGTGCGCGTGTAAGTCAACGTTATGTATATGATAAAAATGATGATGATGATGACGAGGATGAACTGATGAAATTGTTGATGAGTTGTTGATCTGGTCTGCTTTTAAAAAAGTTGATAAGTTGATTTCGAAAAATATTGCATAGGTGCTGACTAGGTGCTGACAGACAGGCAAACCCTCGTTACTCCACTCCACCACTAATAAGGTTGAAGTTGATAAGTTTTAAGTTGTTATTCAGAAGCCTCGATCCTAATAGCAATGGCCTCATTTGCAAAGAGTCAGATTTAATAGCTGGAACCCTGAGGTGAACACCATCTTGGATGGTCTGTGGCTGTTGGAAACAGATAAATATCAAGTAGTCACGACGTACAGCATCACTTGGTGGGCCCGGCAATCAGAAAAAATATTTGATGCTTTTAAGGAAAACTGTGATCTACCAAGTGGCGAGCGTCGCAAGCCCTTACAACCATCACTACCGCTAGCGATTGCTCTAGTGGGATTTTGATTTCGCTGGAGCACCCTCAAAGTAGCGACGGTCGCAGTCACTTGTTGCGAAGGACAGTCTTTTGAACCAGGTCCAGTGAAATCATGACCCTGCTGTGCGTCTCACTACCGCTAGCGATGGTTCTACCACGCAACCTGGTAGATCACAGCTTTCCTTAAAAGCACCAAATATGTTTTTTCCGGATCAGTGGCTCTGTGGGTACCTCCGGAGGTTGTCACCTGCGGTTGAAGTGGATGGAGCGGAATGGAGTGGGGTGGAGTCCAAGCTCCAAAGTGATTGTTATTATTATAAGGTCCTGACTGGTGGGGTCTTTGAAAAGATATTTGAGAGATGTGACCCAATTGAATTGGGAATGGTGGAGTGTGGTGGAGTGGGCTGGACTGGACTGGATTGGAGTAACGAGGGTTTGCCTGTCTGTCAGCACCTATGCAGTATTTTTTGGAAATCAACTTATCAACTTCTCTAAAAGCAGACCAGTGATGTGACGACAGAAGATACTACGCGAGGTTCGAGGGGGGGCTGGTTTCGTTCGTGTAATGAGTAGAATACGATGCTGATGCGTTGAGGATGCGACGACAAAAGTACTACGCGAGGTTCGGGGGGGGCTGGTTTCGTTCGTGTAATGAAGTGAATACGACGCTGATGCGTTGAGGATGTGACGACAGAAGATACTACGCGAGGTTCGGGGGAGGTTTGGGGGGGGGCTGGTTTCGGTCGTGTAATGAGTAGAATACGACGCTGATGCGTTGAGGATGTGACGACAGAAGATACTACGCGAGGTTCGGGGGAGGTTTTGGGGGGGGCTGGTTTCGGTCGTGTATAATGCGTAGAATGCGACGCTGATGCGTTGAGGATGTGACGACAGAAGATACCACGCGAGGTTCGGGGGAGGTTTTGGGGGGGGGCTGGTTTCGTTCGTGTAATGAGTAGAACACGATTCGTGCTTGGCAATGGCGGTTCCTGAACACAGGTTCGAAGGACCTGATGTCCGAACGGGCACAACAACTCTCCGACTGGGCGTGAAAAAGGCCGCCCAAGAACATGCGAGTTTTCGGCGTCGAAACGATGCCCTCTACTTAGAAAAATGAGTATATAGCTTTTACTAGCCTTTACTGCAAGACCCAGGGTTTTCTAGGGCAACCTGTGAGGCTCCGTGCATCAATGACAATTCGAGACATAAGACACGTGAGAAAGGGGGGGGTGGACGAAAGGTTGGTAAGCAATCGGAGGTCAGCGGCAGCAGCTGCAGCAGCAACCC